CAGTCATCAGTCCATGTCAATGGTTACTGTTGCTACGGCAACAAGAGACTGTTAGCCAGCTTAGAACAATTATAACCCATAATATCACAATTCGGCATATTTAAACCAAATCAACCACAACTACCAACAGTCACAGCCCTTCAACTCTGGGCTAATATGTTGTCACAAGTATGCAGTTAATGAGGTCCCATCACATTCAATGGAAAAACCAGGCTAACGTTACTCACCATGTCTGCCTCCACTCGCTCGTCTCCCGGCGCAGCAGCACCTGCTGGGGTGGTGACCCCGGCACCAAATAGGTCTGTCAATGTCCAACATTTAGCAGCTTCCACCTCCAGAGACTTCAGCTTTTTAACGTTAAGTTTCAGCGCCACCCGGGTGTTTCTTACGGTTATCCATCTTCAGCTCAGCAGCAGCCCGTCCCGCCACTCCGGCCCATGCCATGAGGTCCCGCCCACCCTGGTTTGTGTTGTGATTGACAGCATTGATTGATTGACAATGACAGACATAGACCAATAATATGTGTCGATGCTGGCAACACACTGCTAGCCCTCTGTAGCCAACTGGAGGGAATTTAGAGAGAGAGAAAAAACAAAAACATAGCGGACCGGACCACATTGGGTCAACGGCCCACCGGGACGATGCCCGGTGCTCCCGATGGCCAGTCCACCCCTGCCAGTGGCGGACTGGCCATCGGGAGCACCGGGATATTTCCCGGTGGCCTGGCCTGGCGATTGCCGATGGTCGGGACGATTTTGAAATAAACAATCCGTCGTGCGGCTCATTAGGGTATCTGCCTCACTGAAAGTCACACAGACTGAGCAGCAACGTTGGGCACAAACACACACACACACACACACACACACACACACACACACACACACCAAGAATATTGCAAATGTTAGAATATGGTTACCTAACATAGACACAACATAATACATTATATGAATATTGAAATCCTTGTATTATATTGTTTCATTGAACCTTTATTTAACCAGGTAAAATCCAGTGGCCGCTGGTGAAAAATATTCTCGGTGGGGCTGTGCCATACATTTTTGTTTCCGTAACCATCGCAATACAATTGAACACAAACTGCAGGACACCAGTGCTCAGTGAAATAGTCAGTAATTATTTAATGCCAATATTAGTTGAGGCATTCTTACACAAAAACATAAACATCATATTGCACAAACACAAGAAACAAACAATTGACTATTTCTACACTTAACATCTTTTGTGGAAAGTGGACAATAACATGAAATTATTATAAAGTTTATAGGAAATCTTACACTGTATAAAGGATGTATAATATAGAAATGGATATCAAGTGGCTGAACTCAAACCTTTGACTGGAAGAATAGCATACAGTATTTTATGATCAAACTAAATGTAACTAATTGTTAATGTGCTCCAGAGCTGCAACAATTCATTGATACAAAACAACACATATACAGTAATATTAGCAAACACACTATTAAGACTTTCTAGAGTACCATATGTAACTGGATGATTCTTTATGCTAAGGTCAACTATATACAAAGAAACATGTGGTCAGTGCTGCGTGTGTGTGTGTGTGGGTGTGTGTGTGTGTGTGTGTGTGTGTCATCTTATTTGTACAGGAATTTTGCCCGTCTGTCCTTCTGAGTGGCAAACCTCTCAATGACCCTTTTATTAAAGTCAGGAATGTCCCTGACAAGTTTCTTCTCCATGGAGAGCATAGCCAGAGCATTCAGGCGATCCTGTGTCATGCTGTTTCTCAGGAAGGTCTTGATCCTCTTCAGTGTAGAGAAGCACCTTTCTGACTCAGCTGTTGTCATGGGTGTGGTGATGAGGATCTTGAGGAGGCTGACAGTCTCTGTGAAAGTGCTCTGAAGGTTGTTCTCCATGAAGAACTGGTACAGAGGCACTGCACCACTACAAGCCTTGAACTCACTGTTCTCATAGATGAGGGACAGTTCGGTTTTGAGCTTGGCCTTGTTCAACATCGGGTGCGCCTCCACGGTTGTTTCAAGCGCTGCATCGGGGAACTTCACACTGTGTTGTGGGAACAACTTTCCGTGCAACAGTGTTGCGCTGATGAGGTGCTGGGTGAAGGAGAACCTCTCCTTGGCATGAATCAGGATAGTATCACATACCTGTAAAAGATACATCATCAGCTTTAATTTGCAATAAAGCTATTTTGATGCAAGTGATCCTGACTGAACACATGCCTATGTCCAAGTCAAGTATATGATTACTAAGGTGCTGGTTGTTCAGGGTTTTTGGTTTTGGCTACATACTACCAGGCCTGAAAAAAAAGTTCTAGGGGGAAACACTGACAATGACATCACAACTTACCTCTGTAGCCAGCCTCTGTTGTTCTCCTGGTCCCAGCACCCTCCGTCGCTTTATGGGCTGCTGCTGCTCGTCAGATGCGCTGTCCCCACACAAAGAGGGAATGGAGGCCCCGGGTCCAAAAAATAAAGTTTAATTTGATGCCATCAGACTTCTTAACTCACTGTAACCGCCCCTCAACACACACACACACACAAACACACACACACACAAACACACACACACACACACACATACACACACACACACACACACACAAACACACACACAATATGTCTAGTAACTGCTTTTAACTTGTGATGTACGTAATTAACTTATGTTATTACGTTTTTTAGCAGTTTTCTATCACATTTGTGAGAGGGATGCAACATAATTTTGTTCTCCTGTGCACTTGTCCTGTGTAAGTGAAGGAAGTGTGTAAGGCCTCTTCTAGAAATTGACCTGGTGGACACCTGAATAAGCCTGTTATTACAAACTGTGTAATACTTTCCTGCATTATTATCCAAGTCTGATTGTGTCTTCTCTTTCCTTTTAAAATGCCTTATTTAGTGAGTAGTGAGCTAGTTTCTACCTTTGTTCATCGTATACAACCTCCTGGACAACTTTCAGCTAGTCTGCATGGAAGGTGGCAACCCTATAGCTAGCTAACGTTAGACAGTGATTGATAGACCGTTTGAAAGTGTCCCACCTAGTTTTGTGTAAAATAGTCTTTGTAAACATGGTTGTTTTTTTTTTTTAAAAATGCAAGTTTACCTAGCATGATGGCTAATTCATTTAGAGAGAGATTTGTTTTTCTCAGAAATAATTTTAAACATTTATATTTTTTTATGTTCTATGAGAAAATACTTTCTCTCAAAACTTTTTTTAGTCTCAAATATTATTATTTTTTGCTCTCAGTGTGATAACTTTTTCTCTCAGATCATTTATTTTCTCGCATGTAATAAAGACACAAATCTAACTCCATACTTAAGGCGCTGCCAGTGTTTGTGTGGGATGAATGCGCACCCTGCTGGTGAAACTAAGCAACTACATCTGAAATCTACTCGGCTGTATCGCTCTACACATTGTTAAACTGTAAAACTGGGGATTGCACTGTGTGTGTAACTAATGGGCGTTACATACATATTAAAAGTAAGAATTAATAGTGAATTTTTAACTCTGATACACCGTCACAAAAAAATACATATTTCTCCATTATGTTCTTTCTGTAAAACAGAAATCAAATCTATCTCTCATCTATTCCTTAAACGGACTCACAAGAGTTCTGGATTGAAGTTGATTTATTCATTTTATTAAAGTTTAACCAGATTGACACCCATTAATGTCAGAAAGTCCTGTTTCTCATTAATGTTTTAACAAATTGAACCAATTGAATGATATTTGAATAAATCTGGGTAACACTTTATAATGAGTACACACTATTAAGCATTAGTTAAGCATGAATAAATACTGAAATCATCATTTATAACGCATGAATACACATTAGTATGTAGTTTATAAACACAGTTAAACATGTTTTATTCATCATTGATAAGCACATTAGTTATGGATTAGTAAATACTGAATCCATCATTTATAAAGCATGATTCTGCTGTAAATAGTCATTACTATGTGGTTTATAATCACAGTTATAAATGTTTTACTCTTCATTGTACTGTACATTTCTGCATGCACTTGCACATCCACTATTCAGACATGTATTAATGATTAGTGACTGTGTTAGCAGATGTTCTATAAAAACTCACAACAAATTCATTTTCTAATGATGGCCTATAAACAGTGATTAATGCAGGAATTCACAGTTACAAAGCACTTACTACTCCTTCATTAAGTATTTTGCACAAGCTGATCTAAAGTGAGCACTATCTATGGCTTATTAAGCATTTACAAATGAGATATAAAGGCTGACAATGCCTCGAGACTCACAACATGTTCAGTTATCTTAACAGACGAAGGAGAGACACAACACAAAGGGATATAGAACATATTGTATTGATATTTACTGCAACTTCCCAACATATTGTATGAAGACGAACAAGGGTGGTTTATGAAGACATGCTATTGTTGTGATCTTCTCTGTTTGGGACGTTGAGCTAGCAGTCAGCGGCTCTAGTGGAGAGTATGTGTCTTTGTTTGGTAGCACACATTATGGTTGAAAGATAACGTTAGCATTTGTTCTTCACAGAAACAAAAGTTTGGTAAGGCAACAAAGTTCAGTTTTAGTACTCAAAGTTGAATATTTGTTCACACTTTAATATTTGAGTCATAAAAACACTTTCCCTCTAACTGTGCTTTCAAAAAGAAGAAGATTTGAAAAACAAGCAGCCACATTTGATCCTAAAAATGTTCATTTTTCTCAGAGTTATAGAAGAAGATCAATTCTTTCTATCATTTCTTTCATCTCTACGTCTGCAGGCTGCACATTACCCTCACACATGATCCCTTCATCCCAGCATCCTTTGCTCTTCTCTTCCTTCAGCCTCCTCTTCCTCCTCTATTACAGTAAACACATCAGGTTGGTACTAACTAACATCAGCTGTGTGTGATCCTGTACAGACTGAACTATCTGGTCAGCAGTGAGAAAGTTTCTCTCTCCCTCCTACAGAGGACACAGAGACACTGAGGAACCAGACCAGAACCAGAACCCCTGAACCCAGGATAAAGAGGTTCAGTGAATGTGGTGTTGAAGGTGTGGAGGTGGATCAGTGTGTCAGAGGAGACTGTGTAGAAGGACAGAGTGCCAGCAGGACAGTCCACATACACTGCTACTCTACCAGAGGAGGAGGAGGAGGAGGAGGAGGAGGAGGAGGAGGAGGAGGAGGATGTTTCTCTTTTATTGTGCCAGACAGAGTAGCGACCATCAGAGCACTCCAGACTCCAGGACTGATCATTCCCTCCAAACCAACAGTCTCTACTGTTTCCTCTCCTGCTGATTCCTCTGTAACTCACTGATACAGAAACTCTTCCTCTCCACTCGACCTCCCAGTAACAGCGACCAGTCAGACCATTTCTACACAGCAGCTGAGGACAGTAGTTAAATCTGTCTGGATGATCAGGATATGACTGATCCTCCTCCACATGAATCATCTTCCTGTTGTTGTCAGACAGTTTGATGTTTCTGTTCACTGTGTTTGTGTCGACTGTGAGTTCACAGGAATCTGATGGAGAGAACAAGACACAATACAGCTGCAGTTATTGATCTATCATCTGATCATTGATTGACACTTTGATGATGACATCAGAGCTGTGAATGAGTGATGTCACAGTGTGAAGATGGTTGAATGTGTGCTGCTTTGTTTTCACACTTACACTTCCTCAGACCTGGTCTCAACCATCGGACTCCAGCAGGCTCCACCCTGAAAGGAGGAGGGGGGTCAGAGCAGCATGGAAACATGGACATTACATCGCTCTCATACACAGAGCTTATTCTCTACAAATGGACTTACATCTTCACATGGAGCACTTATTATTAATCAGCTGATAGTCTTTCAGTTCAGTGGAGCTTCTTCTTATTGGCCGATGGCTACAGCTCATTATTTTCACTTATTGATGATCTATTATTATTATCAGTATTATGTTTGCAACAGAATGTTTACATTGATTACCTTTAAACAGTTTAACATGGGAGGTGAATTGGTAAGAGCCGACTAAATATAATATTTCTCTGCATTTACTTCGACTTGAAAAAATACATAAGGGTGAATATGAATGAGAGACATGATTGATTAGAGATAAGAGATAAGTTGTGTAACATGATTTATTAATACTGGTAAAAAGGAAACAAAACACAATGATGTCTAAGCTTTTAAGGTCTCAGGATATAGTTCATCATTGCTTTTGTTATAAGTTACACTTGAGTTAAAGAGAGATATGATACTGTACAGTAATTGATGAGAGATAATTGTTTTTTTGAGTTGCTGGATCTACATTCTGGGTTTCCTGTGGGATGCGAGGCAGGGTTAGAGAGTATCTGGAATTCTCCATCTTCATCATCTTCCTGAAGATAAGATCTGAGCAAGCGTACAAACAAACACACACATTCTACCCGGGTAGCACATACACATTGAATACACTTGGACGGACATGGATACACACTAAGCTTTTGGACTGGACTTTGACCAACATTGATATCAGACAGCAATAAGCTGTAAAGAAACACTTTCACTTTCAGTTCTTTTATTTCTTTTATATATTGGAATGAATCTGAACTGTGATTCTACTTTTTGTTGATTGTGAAATTGTGTTTACCTTTTTACATTATTATTATTTACATTTACTCACTCCTTGAGTTGAACCTGAGTGCAGTAGTTACTTCTGTTATGAATTGGTAACATTGAACTGAATTGTTGTTTAGGTGACGCCTTTAGTTTTTCTGTTCTGTTGCCTGGATTGCTGTGTTTTTATGTAACCACAAGATGGCGCCTCAATTAGTAAAGCAAACACAGGTAACAATACAGGTGACACAGATGATGAGCTGATGACTGATAAATGTTATTCTATAGGATGAGTTAAGAGCAGTTGAATTTTGCTACTCTAATCTAACTCTAATTTGTACCCCAGGGCCGCTGGAAGTCATTTTGAACAGGGGGTGCTGTGAAAAAATTGTTTGGTATCTTTGGACAAAAAACCTATGAGCCTATAGGCCTATTTAAAATACATTTTAAAAATAAATAAATAGATTGAGATTCACTACTTTATTGTCATATACACTTCAGTGCACACAGCCAGGGTCTGTAACACACAGACATCATCAGTTCTCAGATGAATACATGCACTATTAATTAAACTTCACAATAACGCTATAACAATGCAATAGATTTGTTCAGCTGGCATGAACCTGAGTCACTGCACCATCTACGTTTATGTCACACGCGACTCTATTAGCTCCAAAATCCTTTTACGCAAACCACAAGGAAATAATCTCTGACTATTTAAACGTTATTGAACAGTTCTCCACATCCATTACGCAAAGAACACACGATCAAAATAACACTCTCCATCTCCATCCTTTTTGATTACATGCACACTGGATAGCAACGTTGTTTGTTTAGTTCACAACCTCTGTCCAGTGGCGGATGATCAAAGTTGTGAAACTAACGTTAGTCCCTGTCAGAGCATATGAGCGGAGCGGGGAGCAAAAGGATTTTGTGTTGAGCGGCAATTTTTTTAAAGGTCGCTCCAGTCTTTGCACCTGCACGCGCACACCCACACTATTTTCTTTCAAAACTATGGAGTTTAATGTGTACTTCAGAAAAGAAACTGAGAAGTCGTACAAGTGTGCTATTCCTGTAAAAGTAACAGATGGGGATAATGTGGAACAAGAAAAAGGCGACATTGTTGAAGTCGTTTTGTTTTTTTGAGCGATTGTGGTGAGTGGAGCGGGATAAAATGTATGATGGAGCAGAACCAGGCGTAGCGGGTGAGCGTCTCTTTATCTCTCTTTTACGTCTCTGTTTCTCTTTTTAATCCTCTCAGAATCCGGTAGGTTTCCTCATACTCATCTCTAATAGACCCTGATTGGACAATGGCAGGTTGACACCTGAATACTCAAATAAACAACAAAACATACGGCAGGAGGTGTTCAAGGACTGCTCAGAACACAGGAAAATTCAATATCTTCTAAAAAACATAACAAATATATATTTCCCTGCATTAAACACAACTGATCTCACATCAGTAGTAATTTAGAATAGAATTTAAAATCATCCTCCTCACCTACAAAGCTCTTCATGGTCAGGCCCCTTCATATCTTAAAGAGCTCATAGTACCCTATTACCCCTCTAGAACACTACGTTCTCTGAATGCTGGGCTACTTGTGGTTCCTATAGTCTCTAAAAGTAGAACAGGAGCCAGAGCCTTCAGTTACCAAGCTCCTCTCCTGTGGAACCAGCTTCCAGTTGTGGTTCTGGAGGCAGACACCCTCTCCACATTTAAGAGTAGGCTTAAGACGTTCCTCTTTGATAAAGCTTATAGTTAGGGCTGGATCAGGTGAGTCCTGAACCATCCCTTAGTTATGCTGCTATAGGCCTAGACTATCGGGGGTATTTCCCATGGTGCACTGAGCTCCTCTCTTCCTCTCTCTTTCTGCACTCATTCATGTCCCATTAATGCATGTTACTAACTTCACTTCTTCCCCGGAGTTCTTGTGCTTTCTCGTCTCGCAGGTTCTCATCGATCCTGGTGGAGCCTCAAAATTACTGATATTATTATTATTATTATTATTATTATTATTATTGTAATCATTATTATAGTTACTATTATTATTGTCCATCGTTGTTGTCGTTGTCATCATCTTCTTCATGTTCATCATCATCATCAGTTATTTCTAGTCTCTCTCTCTCTCTCTCTCTCTCTCTCTCTCTCTCTGTCTCTCTCTCTCTCTCTCTCTCTCTCTCTCTCTCTGTCAGGGCAGAAAAGGAAGTTTTTCCTTGCCGCCGTCTCCAAGGTCTTGCTCATGGTGGTACTGTTGGGTCTCTGTAAATAATGTTATAAGGAGTTCGGTCTAGACCTGCTCTATTTGAAAACTGTCCTGAGATAACTTCTGTTATGAATTGGTGACATACAAATAAAACTGAACTGAACTGAACTGAATTGTAGTTTAGGTGACGCCTTTAGTTTTTCTGGACTAAAAGGTAACACGCTGATGGCAGATGACATCCATCAAAATATCTCAAACTATTTATGATATGAGCCCACAAACCTGCAGCGTGACAACATTGACAAATATCAACCCGCCATGATGCTCACCAACCCATCAGGATAAACCACTGTCCTATTTTCCAATGTCGAAACAAGACATCGGTCCAGAAAAACAGAAATTTCATCACCTTTCCTCTGTCACCTGACTACTAATACTGTATTGATCAGCCTCATACCTGAGAGTGTCCAGTCTCCACTGTGGATCCTCCAGTGCAGCAGACAGCTTTGTTGCTGAGTCTCCTGGATGATTGTAGCTCAGGTCCAGCTCTCTCAGATGGGAGGGGTTGGAGCTCAGAGCTGAGACCAGAGAAGCACAACCTTCCTCTGTGATCAGACAGCCTGACAGCCTGCAAACACACAGAACAACATGTAGTCCGGTGTAAAAGTACAGGGGTTAAAACAAGTTAATTTGTAATACAAATAATTGTTTCAGTGAATTAATTAAATAATTCAGTAATGCAAATAAACTGAAAGTAATTTAGGTTAAAAGCAGTGAAAGATGAAATGTTAACCGATAGATTAACATAAATTCATAATAAATAAAGTAGAGTGTAAATAGTTAATTAAGTAGTTACATTAAACTGTTCTGTATAGTAGCTGAAGAAAAGTGTGTGGTAAACTAAACATGAATTTTCAGATTTGTGTCATTGGTTCATGCTGTTTCATTTGATTGGTTGCTGTAGTTATCACTCAATGTCACCTGTTGGTAATTGGCCGTAGGTAAGGGAGTGAACAAAAAAGGGGCGGGAGAATCAAGCCAAGAGGACGCCATTGCTGAACGGGAAGGACTGTTTCACGCTTCCTGAGGAGGACTTTACTTCTGCTGCCGTTGGCTTTCATCTTCATCTCTTCATTAACTGTTTCTCCAGGACTTATTCCAGACCGTGAGTTGGATTTTCTTTGTGACTGTTAATTGTCACTGAGGATAAGGATTTCCCCGCCGCACCGCACCGAGCAACACACAGGCCTTTTTTTGTTTTTGTGTGCATGTGAGAGTGTGTGTGTGTGTGTGTGTGTGTGTGTGTGTGTGTGTGTGTGTGTGTGTGTGCGTACGTGTGAGTGTGTGTGGGCCCACTGTTTTGTTTAGAGTCCAGTTAAGTAGCATATTTGATCTGAGTTTGATAAGTACAGAGAAATCGTATTAAGGGGTGAGAACTAGAATTTTACCGGAGACCTGGAATTATTTAAATTTTGAATAGTATTTTGATATTGCCAATTCTATTTTGCTTATTATAAGTGTCTATTTTTCTACAGTGTTTTGCAAGTTTGGTAAAGGGTATTTTGTTTACAACTATAATATTTTCATTTTAAAGAAGTCTAATTTGAGTAATTGTGTTATTTCATTTTTGTTCATCTGTTAACGAACAAAGTAAATATTATTTGTGTTAGACTGGAAAACAACTGGTTGGTTAACTATTATTTCATTTATTTGAAAGAGTTGTCTGGGGTCAGTTATTTAAAATAGTGTAGAGTATGTGTGAATAGAGCCACTGCTTAGTCTAACAAAGTTGTTGGTTATTCATAAAGTATTAGGCCATAAAAAGTTTCACACAAAACAGGTAAACCTTCGTGGTAGCTACCTTAATAAATCAAACCCCAACACCCCATCATTTAAGTCCAAGGTGAGTTGCTTTAACTTAAGCATTTACTGAGTGTTGGGGTGCTACAAACACATTACATAATAAACATGTTCAAGGAAAGAGACTCAAACTAAATAAACAAAACAATGTTAGGAAGATTACAATTGTATCCATCAACATAATTCAGGTTTAAAGTGGTTATCAGTTGAACAGGTTGACGAATACTGACCTGAGAGTTTCAAGTTTACAGTGTGGACTCTTCAGTCCCTCAGAAAGCAGCTTCAGTCCTGAATCCTGCAGGTTGTTGTTACTCAGGTCCAGCTCTCTCAGACTAGAGGACTGGGAGCTGAGAACTGAGGACAGAGCTTCACAGCTTCTCTCTGAGAGGTTACAGCCACTCAGTCTGTAGAGACAATGATCAACAATAAGAAAAATAACATTTGTGACCAGCACTTTATCACTCAGCCAAAACCAAAAACACTTTAAATTAGTTCTGTAAAAATGATATCAGCTAGTGAGGAGTTCCCAATGTTGGTGATATATAATGTCTTTATAATCTCTCTAAGTCGAAAAGATAGCAGAGTACTTAAGTGATAATACAGAAATCCAACTCTTTCTGTACTTACAGAGCTTTGTTGGAGGCTTTGACCACTGGCAGCAGCCTCAGAAGAGCCTCCTCTGAAGCAGAGTATTTCTTCAGGTCAAACACGTCCAGATCTTTTTCTGATGACAGTAAGATGAAGCCCAGAGCTGACCACTGAGCAGGAGACAGTTCATCTGTGGAGAGACGTCCTGAACTCAGGGACTGTTGGATGTCCTCCACTAGAGAACGATCATTCAGTTCATTCAGACAGTGGAACAGATTGATGCTTCTCTCTGCAGAGAGATTCTCACTGATCTTCTTCTTGATGTACTGGACTGTTTTCTGATTGGTCTGTGAGCTACTTCCTGTCTGTGTCAGCAGACCTCGTAGGAGATTCTGATTGGTCGGCAGTGAAAGGCCCAGTAGGAAGCGTAGAAACAAGTCCAGGTGTCCTTGTTGACTCTCTAAGGCCTTGTCCACAGCACTCTGGTGGAGATATTTTAGATTCTTTTTGTCTTTACTTAATTTAGACAACCGGGATGTTGTTTGTTCTTCTGGCAGCAGATTGACTCCAGAGTTGATGAATGTCTGATGGACATGAAGAGCGGCCAGAAACTCCTGAACACTCAGATGGACGAAGCAAAAGACCTTGTCCTGGTACAGTCCTTTCTCCTCTTTAAAGATCTCTGTGAACACTCCTGAGTACACTGAGGCTGCTCTGATATCGATGCCACACTCTGTCAGGTCTGATTCATAGAAGATCAGGTTGCCTTTCTGCAGCTGCTCAAAAGCCAGTTTTCCCAGAGACTCAATCATCTTCCTGCTCTCTGGACTCCAGTGTGGATCTGTCTCAGCTCCTCCATCATACTTGATGGTCTTCACTTTGGACTGAACCACCAAGAAGTGGCTGAACATCTCAGTCAGGGTCTTGGGCAGCTCTCCTCCCTCTGTGTTGTTCAACACATCCTCCAGAACTATAGCAGTGATCCAGCAGAAGACTGGGATGTGGCACATGATGTGGACACTTCGTGATGTTTTGATGTGGGAGATGATTCTGCTGGCCTGCTCCTGATCTCTGAACCTCTTTCTGAAGTAGTCCTCCTTCTGTGGGTCAGTGAACCCTCTGACCTCTGTCACAATGTCAACACACTGAGGAGGGATCTGATTGGCTGCTGCAGGTCGTGTGGTTATCCAGAGGCGAGCAGAGGGAAGCAGTTTCCCCCTGATGAGGTTTGTCAGCAGCACACCCACTGAGGTGGACTCTGTAACATCAGTCAGTATCTCATTGTTGTGGAAGTCCAGAGGAAGTCGACACTCATCCAGACCGTCAAAGATGAACACAACCTGGAACTCTTCAAACCTGCAGATTCCTGCTTCTTTGGTTTCAGTAAAGAAGTGATGAACAAGTTCCACCAAGCTGTACTTTTTCTCTTTCAGCACATTCAGCTCTCTGAAAGTGAATGGAAATGTGAACTGTATGTCCTGGTTGGATTTGTCTTCAGCCCAGTCCAGAGTGAACTTCTGTGTTAAGACTGTTTTCCCAATGCCAGCCACTCCCTTTGTCATCACTGTTCTGATTGGTTCATCTCTTCCAGGTGAGGCTTTAAAGATGTCTTCTTGTCTGATTGTTGTTTCTGATCTGTCTGGTTTCCTGGATGCTGTTTCAATCTGTCTGACCTCATGTTCTTCATTGACCTCTGCAGTCCCTCCCTCTGTGATGTAGAGCTCTGTGTAGATCTGGTTCAGAAGGGTTGGGTTTCCTGCTTTAGCAATCCCCTCAAACACACACTGGAACTTCTTCTTCAGGTTAGATTTAAGTTCACGTTGGCATGCTGCAGCAACAGTTCCTGAATGAAGAAAGAAGAAATGTAGTTAATAAGTAGAAGCTCCAATAAATCTGATGGATGTTAACTTTAAGACATCAAGATGGTATTTATTTTCCTCCCCCGTTAAATCTCTTCAGCTCATCAGTTGTGAACAGTTTCTGCTTTCAGTCCAGAAGAATTCATAGATCTGATACAATGTGTGCATCATATTATCAGCAAAGTTTTAAAAGTAAACTTCTCTCATGTTGCCTCCATTTCCTCTTTTCATCATGTTCAATCTGTTAAAATCCTCTTACTGCTCTGAAGACAGTCAGCCAGCTCCTCCTGCTTCATTCTCCTCAGGAAGTGCACTGTGATCTTCAGAAATGCCTCTCTGCTGCTCCTCCTCTGCTCTTCATCCTCACCATCCAACACCTTCTCATCCTCCCTCTGACTCTCTGAGCATTCTGGGTAATCTGAACTCAGAACCTTCTGGATCTTCTTCAGCTCGTTCTTCACAAAAGTGACAATGTTGTCCTCCAGCAGCTGGAACAGAATATTATATGAATGACTCAATCAAAGTCAAATCATGGAAGCAAACATCAGATCCATGTTGGACAGACTGACAATCCACTGGTCTAAAAAGTGCAGCATGGAGATTATTGTGAACACAGTAGATGTAAAAGTAGTTGTTGTCCATGTACAGACCATAAATATGGATTCCAGATGTGTTTGATGCTGCTGGGCAGACTGACCACTGGGCACCTCTGAGCTCTCCTGGTCCACTCTGTGGAGGAATTATGAAGAATGAGCTCACATTATGTCTGTCCACACAGAGACAAACACAAGGTAAAGGTCCATGAAGTGATATTTGGATGTGAACAGTGAATCTGATGACTCCCTGTAGTGGTAAAGGTTTACTAGTCCTGCTGATCCCACTGAGAATCAACAGCTCAGTTTGGTTCAGTCCCAACAGCTCTCACCAACCCCTCCATCTCTCCTTCCCTCATCTGTACACTGCTGAAGTGCCCTGGAGCAAGGCACCTAGAGCCTCCAGCTGCTCCAGTGGAGCTGCTCAGTGTCTGCTTGTATCACACTGGTTGTACTGGGCAGCTCCCAGTGTGAATGTGTTTAACTGTGTGAGTGTGAGGCAGCTGCTGCTGAAAGAGTGTTGGTGCTCAGAGAACTTCATCTGAGTCAGTAAAGGTTGAAAAATTGGAGATTTCACAACTGAGAGATAAAAACACATCATTTTATTTTCACCATCAGTTTGAAATCCTCACCTTTGATCAACAGAGTGGCGGCCATCTTTGAAGTATATACGATTTTCCATAGAGTCATCACTCTTCATGGACACACAGCTGGGTTCAGGTTTTTTCCTCCTGATAGAAAAACAGGATCAGTTCTGCACTGCACCCACAACACACTGAGACAGAACCTGCCAGTGACTGAATACACCGACTGCACACAGTGTCACTGCATGAAAAGTGGGATTTTCGTCAGTAAGCGGCACTGTAGATTGTCGTGGAACTTCAGGTTTACGACTGCGTACGGCAATTTGCAGGCAACGCGGAAAACTGCCGTGAATTGTCGGAAATTGACGTGGGCCTTGCTTGGCAGTTGTCACCCCCATGATCCCCCTCCCCCTAATTCTAGGGGAGGCTTTAACATGTAAATGAAAATGCTGTGAGCTATACAAATGCAAATCAGGGTAGCAGGGCGAGTTTTAGCCCAGGTGACATTTTTCTAAAAGGTAAGAAAATCTCTGGTATAAATAGATCAGGCTCAGTATAGCCTAATTATAGACTCTTACATTTTAGCTTGAATTTATTTATTTAATGAAAGTATGCTATATTAATTACTGTGTATGTCATTAGCAATGGCAAATGTTATGTAAACAAGATACACAAATGTAGTAACTGTGAAGAATTGAGAGAAATATATATATTGTCCTCAGGTCCACTAGGGGGCGATGAGTAAGTTGTTACCTGTTGGGAATGCAATAGATGGAAAGAGATGATGTGATCGTGATATACAATGTGTTCGTCAGGAACAAAATAAACTTCCCCCATGTTCGGTAAGAAACAATTTATTTCAACAATTAGAAGAAACTGCTGAATGCTATCAATGGGCTGTCTCTGTTTGCTGCCGATGTGAATGAGCAGTTCACTCAACTCAGCAGTTCAGTTCACTCCAGCTTGTTGTCCATGGAGAATAGGTTGGCTGCTTTGTAGTCGAAAAACTGTGCGGGAGACTCTAAAAAGAGGAGACGGCGTATGTTGACTTCTTTTTGGACATGACCAGTGTATGTTGCTTTATAAAAGTGTATTTTTCTTGTCTTATAATTTACAGGAAGCAGTACGCCGTCTTCACAACTTGGAGACAAATTGTCGGAGCTACGAACCGGAGCAAGGGTAAGATTGAAAGAATATGCTTTCATTCTGCTGTATAAGGAAATAGATACGTTAATAGATACCGGTCTTAACTACTTAACTTAACCTAATTTTGTTTTCACAGACTAACCTCGCCTCATAACGAGGCTGTGACCTCCTATTTACTCGGAGCTATGTCTGAAAGTCCAGATTTACACGATGCTGATAATGACGACACTGTGTGTAAGTAACTTATACTGTTTTCTCCCTCCTTGTTTAATTTTACTGTGACTTACATTTTTTTTATTCATACCACTCTCATTTAATTGTTTTCCAGCTGCCTGTAAGACCTATTACGAGACAGTATGCAGGAGCTTCAGGTATTAACAACCAGACCTTGCACCGCAGGCGGAAGCTGTAAAGAGTTCAGCTCGGAGTCAATCGAGAAGAAAAAGGGTAAGACTTTTTTGGTGACTATTTTTCAGGTGCATTAAAAGATGTGCTGTGTCCATACGCAGTGCATCGCGCAGTACTGATTGTCTTGATTGATTGTTTTCCAGCTGCTGGAAGCGAGACAGAGTGTGCTAGATGAGGAAGAGGGGGAACTTTGGAAGTCCGCCACCATAGACCTGATGTCTGATGA